ATATCGATTAATAATGGAGGGCCTGAGATAGAAAATCAATCATGCTGTCTTTTTTATATTTTATATATAATAGAACATAACATACTTATAAAACGTGTGAGACTAACATGTGCTTAACTCAACATAATAAAATGTCTAATTGAAAAGTGCATAATTGTTCCTGTCACGTGACAGCTTATCATGTGAACTCGAACCAGGGGGTTGCCTTTCCAATAAGGTCAGGCCTGCCATAAATCTATCTTAGAACATGATACTTCCAGTTTGTTATCATCAGCATTGTCATCCTGAGTAGTAGTAAACATAATATTCACAAAATATATTTTTAAATGAAAAAAATCAGTTTATGTAGGCCTAATTGCTATTAACAGCCAATGATAACATGAATTTCAGTGACTCCCAACCTTCACTGAGTATGATATATTATCCAATATCCATACTCTTTCTAAGCTTTCAAAATTCTAGATTGAGCTTCTAAACGGGTCTTAAGGATAAGACGCCTGGAAAGAAACCTGTCTTCGTGTGAGATTCGCAAGCACAGTCGTACTGAACGCTTGCTGGGTAGAGTCAAAACATTGCCACGTGAAATCCAACAAGTAAGAAATATAGGTTAACATAAATACTGAGTAAACAGTTTACTTTCTATCTCTATTAGGAATTGCAATCAAAATATCACATAGAAAACCGTATGAAAACTACCAAAATACTATTCTTTAACAACTGATTAAGTTGTTTGCTCTTGGCTCTTAATCAGTTAAATTCTAGTCCATTCACCTGTCTTGTATAAGATGCTGAGAGTGCAGATAGTTTTTATTGTTGACGCAAATCGAGAGCTAAAAGTTTGTTGAAAGATTCTTTAGAATCAGGGCTAGCAGAAAAAGAATAAGAAAAAAGAATTTGAAGGCATCACGGAAAAGCGGCAACATAACATACTAAGCTACTTTTCCTCCGACACACATTAGAAAATAAACGTCGAATAATAGTCAAAGGTAACCAAAAATTATATCCAAATGTTTCCGCACTTTCATGGTAGCTTCATATTTTGTGCTACCAAAGGCTTTTCTTATAAAAAAGAGCATGACAGGGATGCAATCGCTTTGAATTGTAACCAGAATATGACAAAAATATTTGAAAATTGTTGGCTTATTAGTTAATGCTAGAGACAATCAACGAATATAAAACTGGTAAACTTCCTTTACCTCTTAGGGAAGAGGGAAATAATCATAACGAAACTGCCCTTTGTCGGCAGACATTCCTTGGAATTATTTATTTTAAGATAGCTCACATTTTATACAGCACACATGTCTGCTGATTCTCCTTGAAGTTATATTGCTCATCAACGAAATTCCATCATCACCTCTTCTAAAAAACGCCTGAAAAGCTTCTTCATATCTGAACAGTACTGAAATTATACTTTTCGTTTGCGTTTGCGTTTGCAATTGCGTTTGCGCTTGTGCTTATGCCGCTAGTGTTGACCGAGCTTTAGGGCCTACCAAACCAAGTACTGCATTTCTTATACAAACAATTGCATTTCAAATCTCATTTCTTATTACTTTGATCAAAATATCTGCTATTCCTCTATGTTCAGAAACATCACTAGCTCTCCATTACAATTTAAAAGTATCAGTGACTCCACTCTAGCCAATAGTAGGTCTTTGTGCTCCCAAGCCTGTGTAGTCTCATTGAATGTTTTGATGTCAAATTTACTTTAAACTATATAACTTAATGATTGAAAATTAAACAAACCAATGCTTGTCAAATTCTCCTTCTCTTGAAATAGCTTGGATACCTGAATACCTCGAAGTTGAGTCACCTTGCTGTCTTTGGTTGTTATCGTTCTTGGTCGTTTCGAAAGTAACTTACAGCTATATACTTACGAGATTATATTTATGTATATTACAGATCTATCAACCTTGCTTACTAAGCATTAAACCAGAATGACGTAAGCCCGAAACAGGACTTAATGGCTATGAACAATTGATGGAAACAATAATCTGCGGTACGTAGTAAAGGAATGCGGAGCTTCTGACGTGCTATTGTGCCTGGGTCAAAATGCTACCTCTCTTTGTTTTAAGGAAAATTAACTTCAGTGAAAGCATTGTTGGACGTATTTTAGAATTTCCGGACAAATAAATTTTAAGACAAAACAATTCCTCATTTACAATATTAAAGCCGCATTTACACGAGCAAGTTTTCCTTGACAATTTTTCTTTGAGAAGGTAATTTTGCTCGTGCAGATTGGGTTGTATTGAGGAAAAATGACAATTTTTCACTTGACAAGTGTACTTGTTCAAAAGCTGGCGTGCCTTGAAAAATTTGACTCAATTCCAGACCCATTCTTTCTATACAATTGCTTGTTCTTGGCCGATCAAGGAGCATCAATGCTTTTAGATACTCTACAAAGCTGTGAACGCCTTCGGAATACAAAGTTGTAAAGTTGCAACATCAAGAAAAATGAGTATGCCCAGTATGAGTATGGGTATGCAGATGTTAAAGGAAGAAATTCCAGGGATTTCCCACCCACGAATAAAAGTATCTTTTTCGTAACATCCTCGAATAAGCTTCGATACATACCGTAAATCCCCGAATAAGCCCCTTAATCATTTTTGCAAATAAGTCCCCCCCCCTCGAATAATATTTCGAGGGCTTATTCAAGGAAAGCAAAATTGCAGAAAAATGTCTTATTTCAAGAAAACCTCCATAGGACAATAGCTATACAGTATTACTTCCTTTGACTGGAGACCAAAAAGCAAAAAAGCGACTTTGTGATGATAAAAAATTATAATATATTTGTTAGATCTTCGCAATTTATTTCATTGAGAAAATTATGTCGTTTTTATGTCGATCTTTGAGGAAAATACTAACCTTTTAAATAAGCCCCCCTTCGAATTAGCCCCCCCTTGAATAAGCCCCCACCCAAAAATTGATTTTTGCAAATAAGCTCCCGGGGGCTTATTCGAGGATTAACGATATGCACTCTTTTCTTTTTATAAGGACAATTATAAGAACAATGGTCAAAATTTAAAAACAAATCAAGAACAAGCTGAAGCTGAGCTACTGTAAAATGCAATTTTGAACAACGTTTTATCTCAAAAACGAGTATTTCTAGCCATATGTGGGTGTTTTTCGGTGAATATTCAAACTTCTTGATAAATGAAGGTTGTCGCACTCACTTTGTTGGCAAATGAGGCCTGAATCCCTCCCTAGAACGAAAAAGCTAGCAATCGCACTGCTTACACCCCCTTAATTTTAAAAACAAATTAAGAACAATCCAGCCTCGGATTTTTTAAAAAAAACAAGAACAGTCAGCCTGAACTTAAATATGCTGGTTCTTATATAAAAAAGAGCGTAATAGATAACAGTAAAATTTGTTTTTAAGCTGGCAAGGAGACCTGGTTATGTATTGAGCTGATTTAAGCCAACTTTTTACAGCAAACATAAAACGTCATTATCATAAAAATATAAATGTACAATAAATGTTATACATTATCTACAGCTGCAATTAAAGTTAAAATTTTTCTTAAAATATCCGGCAGTTTGGACTCTCTTATTTTTAAAGTAGGTAATCTTTCACCATATTTTTTAGACGATAAATCTAATAGTCTCAGTGCCAAATCTTTTTTTTCTTACGCTAGGTAAAACATTGCTGCTCTTTGCTGGATGTTGATATTTTGGGTTTCTAGAAACAAAAACCTTTGACTATTTTAATATGAAGAACTTGAATGAAAAAAGACTTTCGGAGCACTGAAGGTGGCTTTTGCTTCATCCCAAAGTTCAGATCAATTTTTTAAAGAGTTTTGTTGGAAAATCAACTTTGCTTGTGTTCTTGTATCAATGTCGTCAAATGCCTTCAGTATAAAAATGTAACACTCATTAAATGTATCTCTTCAACACTTTGCTTCAAATTTAAAGCTTTAAGCAATCCTTAGCAATCCTGCTTATTCTGTTGAAAAGGTTATACATACTTTTCTACCCCTAGTTCATTTCTAGTTTTTGAATAAACAGCTATTCCATTTTTTAAGCAAACATTGTCTTTGCTAGATGAGAACCTTATTCCAAAATTTTGCCTGAAGGGTTATTAATAAATACTGCTCTTAATACGAATTGTATGGACAATCTACTGGGAATTACTATATGGACCACTTAGTCTTAAACCGAAGTTCGCAACGCTCATTTTCCAAATATGCCCAATTCTAAAGAAATTCAAATTTGGAATACGGGAAGCATCCCCTGCATCCAATGCATCCCCTCATAATTTGCTAAGGCTAGAGTTACACTATACCGGCTTGCAATCGGAGCGGAGCGGAGTTACTTTTGCTCTGGAGCGATATTTGGGGTAGCAGTTACCAGGGGCGTCGCGACCAGGGAAATGTGGGGGGGGGGGCTGTCACACCCCCAATAGCATCTCAACAGAAATTTTTAGGTAAAATCCGCTCAGTTGAAAAAACGCTTTAGGTAGTTCAGAGGCCTTCATATCTTGAAATCAATTAAGGATCAAACAAAGGTAGTTGCTTCGTTGGTTAAATATGATATTTAACAGACAACAGGATTTCGAAGATAATTAATAGAGAGTGCGGGAAAATAACCGACCCGAGCGAGGCTCGAACTATGATATTCCTTGATATGAAGATTTGAGAAACTATCAGGAAGTCCGTTATTATCATATAAAAATGGAAGTTGCGTTATAAGCTACAGAGTTAGATTGACAAAATGTTTTGCAGAGGTTTGTGTCAGCAAATAAAGAGTTTAGGGTAATTGTTTTTCAATCAGGTAAATTTGTAGCCCCCCCCCCCCCACCTTAGGTTGCCTCGCGACGGCCCTGCTCTTGCGTAAAATTTACTTTCAATTTACTTTTATTCCTTTTGTCTCTTTTATCCGGGGCATGTATGCCAATTGAAGGTATGATGTTTTCAGAATTTTATTCTAGGATAGGGTCATATAACTTTTATGAGTTGACCAAGAGAGGGGCGGTCCCCTTTACTTGATCTTTGACATGTTTGACTGGCCTCGTACTGAAGTTTTCTCCCATATTGCGCATTCTCGCGGCGAAAACAAAAATAATATCCGAGGAGCAGATGTTGTTTTTCGCTTCTTCGCAGTCTTTAAAAGTTTTATCTCAAGATCAGTTCAATTCAAGGTTCAAAATTTTCTTTGCAAGATTTATCTGATGTTAGCGTGAATGTATAGATCAGTTGCTCATATAGTCGCTGTTCTCCAGGAATGAGCAACAAAAATCACCCAAAGATGGGCCTAAACTCAAACGAAAGGAAAAAAGGGAAATCTAGTGGAGAGCTTCCACCCTCAGGACGCAGCTGGCCATTCAGACGATCTAAGAGCAAAAGCAAGGCCACAGAGACTGGAGATGAAGCAACGGCAACCGACGTTGTTTTAGAGGATAGAAAATGTCTGATGGAATCTGGTGAGTACCCAAGCTCCCCTAGTAGTCCACCAAACGAGAAGGCAAGCACAATTAGCAGCGGATCTCAAGATGGAAGGATGGAAAATGAAGGTCAGGCACCATCTTATCAGCGTTCACAATCTAGGGAAGATCTGACAGAGACTTTCTCTCCTTTGACAGAACGCGAAAAGGTTCTCTTTCAAGACCTGCAAGAGGTATGAATATAATTTTTTTTATATTTCTCTTAGCTTAGATTCAATCTAGGTAGCATTCATTTTTTGTTCCAGGGGTTTTATATTATGTAATAGAAATTGATATGCCCTCAACCAAAATGTTTTCCCTATTTTATAGAACAAAAAAATAAAACGCTCAAGACTTAAAATGTGTAGATTTGTTGTGTCTGTAAAATAGGATTCCTATTTGTGCATTTTTGAGTCATTATTGAACTAGGTTTGGATAAAAGCCTTGACATTTTTTAACGGAGTCAAGAAAACAGCATAAGTGGTGAGTTAACAGAGTGTTAGGAGCAGTCTTTAGAATATAGCAGATCTCAGCAAGATCTATTTCAATGCAACTGAAAACATGTTGTGCAATTTCAAATTTTGCTGCCCTGGTGAACTCAGCCCAGACTAGAAAAAACATCAGGAGTGCACCAATCTTCACGAAGATTACAATAATCTGGTACACCATGCCTGGCATCATTTTTGTTTCTTTCATAATCTCACTTCAAGTTAGGAGTAATTTAATCTATTGTTCACAGTAAAGAAATTTGTTATGCAGCTAAGCCATTGAACCATGTTTATTCTTTCAAATATATTTGACAGAACTTTGTCACCCACTTTCCAACTGCAAATGAAGAAAATACTGCCCATTTTCTCCCCATACATTTTTTGAAGCACATTTGCCACAGCCGTGATCTTGTCAAATTGTCCCACACTTTCCAATCTGGATTCTGACATCATGCATGCATCTGCCTTACTCTGTAGACTAGGTGAAGGGCCAGTTATATAACATTCTCCAGGCTGCATGTTAAAAGTTGTAAAAAATTTCCTCATAGCCTTTTCAGTAGTAGTTTGAATAAAAGACTCAAAATTATGAGAAACATTATACAAATAATGAAATGATATATCAGTTTTTACTAGTGTTCGGTGTAATTATCAAAAGTTACATGTGGTTTTATGAAAAAGAATAAATCTGATGAGAAGTAATGTGATTTTCCAGTCTTTGTTTGGTAATCAATGTAAGTGTAAAGAAACCTTTGTGAAGTTTGTCAAGAAAACAGTATGTTTTTCTAACAGTGCCCTTAATGACATGCTGTTGTAGACCTGGTTTCATTTGAATATATAAAAAGACTTTTACAGTTGTATGTTGACAATTTATTAAACAAAAGCATTCTTCTCCATCATGAACAGCAATATTATATAATGTTGATATCTTGTTCATACTGCTTAAAACATCATGCCAGTTTTATCCTATATCTATCAACAAGAAAACTTATTTCTATCATTTTTGGCTATAAAAACTCAGGAAATGCTCATTTTGTTACTTTATATCTAAGGAGTTGATATCAAAGTTGAATTCATCAATTATCTGTGTAATGATATAGTTTCATGTGGTTGTAATGTAATGGTTCAAATTAATCTGCCATGATTGGTTTCTTACATTGGATTCACAGTATTTATTTTGTTTCCAGTATTTATATGCATTTATTACCCTTTGTTTTTACTATATCAAGCCTTACAGGTTCATATGTAGAGTCAAATGATTTGTAATCTGATCCATGAGATTTGCAACTTAAGATAAATTGAGACCTGCTAATGGGCATGTTTTAATCCCAGATCTACAGGTGTATGTATCCTTTTTTAAGTTTTAAGGGAGAATTTGTTGGCAGTATCCAAGTACACAAAGGATGGCTTTATAGCCAGATTTTTCAACTGCTCTGTAACAACTCAGTAAATATCTTTGGCATAGCTGTTTAAGTTTTTTAATAATGCCTTTTTTGTTCGCCCATCACTGCTTCTTAAAATAAAAATATCTTAACTATCCTAAATAATGCCAATATGTTTTATAAAATATGCAATTTTTTTGTTATTCTTTTTGCCATCAAAATTTGCTGCTTCGCTGATGAACATGTGATTTAGCCTTACTGTTGGCAGTTGGTACATGTTTTTTTGACTTACATGTTTTTCAATGTGGATGAGAATTGCAGTTAATTGCTGTTAATTTTATTTTCTAGCATCTTGACAATGACAAAAACTGCTAGGTTTTTTAGTAAACCGTGTTACTAAAGATAAGTTATGATTTTGTGAACAAAACAGCAGATATTCCTCAAACCAATGCAATAGTCCATTTTAGGGAAGAATCTGATATCTGAAGCTGAGTAGTATTACACCTTTTAACTTCAGTTAAAATTGTTGAGACAAAATTGTTTTCTGTGTCCAATGAGGTGAGTTGTTTTAGATGAGTTGTTCAAAGCTGTTGACTGACGGAAAGCTATTGGGGAAAATTACCCGTTGTCGTGATGTATTGTTAACAGGAGTTGCCCATTATTGAAGCTGTCCATTACTGGAGGTTTCACTACAGATGTTATGTTTGGGTATTTGGCGAAGTTTTGTTATCTTACGTATTGGTGCTGAGTTTACCCGTACATCTAACGTTTTTGGTCGTTGGTACAGGGTTAAATTACTAAATAACAGTCGAAAAATGCAAAAACTATCTAAGGATTCGATGGAGAAGCTTAAAATTGCGTGTTTGTTATATCATGAAAACATTTGTGGAGGCACAGATGTTGCTAGAAAAATTATGAACACTTTTCAGCAAACATGTTTAAAATATAGATAAATTGCTCTTCCTTGCACAAAAACTGTAGCTTTTACGAAGGGATGCCGAGTCATAACGTTTTTGAGATCGTGAAAATTTAAAATAAAAGAAACGATGAATGTGACGCAATTTAACAATGCAAACATAGCGATTTGGATGGTAAAGAACAGCGTAGGTCAAGCTAGGTCTGGCCTTAGTTCCACATAGAAAGTGACACGATACTAGTTCTTTTATGTGCGTAATTACCTGGGATCGTGTTGAAAAGTTAGTGTCGGCAGGGACGAAAACAAGTTGCTAATTTTGGGGGGGCGTGGAAGTATGAAAATTCCAACTTTAAGTGATAAATTTTTCATTCGACCAGTAGATCTGTTGTACCTACCAAATTGATATTTGTAAATAGCCCGAACACCATAGTTCTATTTTCTTTATAATTACCAAATCTTTACTCAATAATTAGCCTAAAGCATAAAAGCCTAAATCTCTAAATTTTGATTAACATGAAACAAACATTAAACATACTGTAAGAAGTAAAGCAACATTTAAGCAAAACCAGTATTAGATATACTTAATGATTAGTAGTATTCTTTCAGATCAATTGATCAATTTTATCTAAATTGATCAATTAATCAATTGGCGCAGATCAATCTTATCTAAAATACATTTTTCACGATATAGAAGCACCAAGAATTTGGGCCTTTTATTTTCGTTCTTGATCGAAGAAAACTACCTTTAAACTTTTCAGAGGGCCAAATGCCTTTTCATTCTTTACAATTGAAATGATGATTTGAGAACAAACTTGTGCATATGCCTGATTCGAAAGATGAAATACTCTTCTTTGATCAAATACTTCTACTGCAGTTTTTGCCATGTGTTCTTGCTCCACAGCAGTTTTGTCATAGGAATTTATGATAAGGACTCAAGGACATTAACAAATAACAGGGGGAGTTTAGCATAAACTCGTTTTTTATAGGAAGCGTTGAGAATTTTTAGTACTGAAAGATTCTTAATCTTTTATTGAATTAACTACTCGTAGTTTCTAAAAAAATTCCCATTCTAATATTTTCTGATCAATGCGGGTATTATTATTCCAAACTGTAAGTTTCAAGTTTCTTATCCGTAAGTTCACCTTGCCTGTTCGTAATTTGATTCAACTCCCATCAGAAAGAAAGAAAAAGAAAACGGGGCAAGTGTGCAATTTGGATCCAGTGGAGACGGGATTCACAATAGAAAACGATTGGATGGGTCAGCTTCAGCCTGTGAATTTTAATGTTTAGAATTTTTATATTTAAAATAAAAAAACTTCTTAAAATATAAAATTCACAAGTTTGGTCTTAAGAAAAAAATTCCAAGTCAACCGTTATGTTTTCCAACTGTAACTGGATTTTCCAAACTTTGGGGGGGCGTTACGCCCCCCACGCCCCCCTATTATTTACGTGCCTGAGTGTCGGAAAGTGAAGGTCAAAAGTTAAAGCATTAAGATTATGTCAGAAAGAAGGCATCGACATTTCAAGAGGCATCGACGCTAAAAAATTGGCATCGCCAAAAAATATTTTTCGTAGTTTTAGTTTGTTATGTGAACAGCAAAGACTATCGCAAAAATGCTCAATGTTGTCTGGAATACAGAAAAGGGGTCTAATTTAGGGAAAGAAAGTTGTAGCGAGCAAGGGTACGGGTGCCTGCGAACGCGGGTCGTCTGGAGGCCGATATCGGAAGATTTAAACGAGTGCGTGATTGTCCTCACGCTCGCTGAAAATTGAAAACAAACCAATTTTGAACGAACATGGCGCAGAAAGGATGAAAGAGGAAAAAACGTTTTCTATTCTGGACAAGCTCTCACAGGGGGGGTTAGCAAGTAGTATAATTCTATCATACATAGGTTTGAACACCATTCTTTTCATTTTATAACGGGAAAGTTTAGCATCTAATACCTAGTAGGCCTGGAGAACGGTTTGAAACTTTATTTTTGACTGATTTAATTCTTTCTTTGTTATTTCAATCCTTTTAATTTCATCGATGTGAGCAGCCATTATCGTTAGGCAGAAGCTTGCCTTGTACCGAGAAATCCCCATCGACCGAGAGCAATCTCAATTACTTTCGGATTTCACATGATCAATCAATTTTTGTTGATGACCATCGGACCGTAAAAATACTAGGTTACAAAAAATTCATCCGTACTGGTTTCTCTCGCTTGTTTCTCGCAACAGTTAGCCACAGTTACTGCAAGCTTATGTAGACCTAAGAGGCTTGTGTTTTGAAATGTGGTATTTTCTTGCCACAGCTATCTGTTGCGCCTCGCGATTTGCCGAATTGCAAACTGTGTTTTGTATTGCTACAATAATGTTGGATTAATTATTCATAATAAGGACAGCTGTTTCATTATCCTCTTGTGAAACAGGTGACGCTTTTCTCTCTGTGAGTACAGCTCGTCTTCTTTTGTACGTCCGCTAATGTTATGTGGAAAACTGTGAGTGCGACAAGAAACATTTGCCTTCAGAGATGGAATGTTGATGAGATATGGCCATATGGTTTTGCATGATGTGGCCTTACATAATTTGGTCTTCATCATGTCAAACGATCCCAAACATCTATCGCTTCAGAACTTTCAAATCGTTATCCTCTATTCGCGGGGGGAGGGGCTATTCTTATAAAGAAAATCTCGTTTCCCCTTTGGTTCCTTTGAGTGCACTGAATCTTTTAATATTGCTAAAGTTCTGAATGTATTAGCTCCCCTGAAATTATGTGGTGTTTCCTTTCATCTCAAGTCCTCGTGCTACATTCATTTACTTTGAACTACCAGGACTGACCTGGAAAACTGGCTGGCAAAAATTATCTAATTTTTCGAGGTTAGTGTGCATGCGAATGTCTCTCCGCTGAAGCAAAACAGATGATGGTGCCTATTTGATAAGACTTTTTTGCAACGAAAGAAGAAGAAAAAGCCCTTAAGAAGTTAACAAAAATCCTCATTTTAAAATCGTGAAATTCTTGAACTTTCAGCGTTGCGCAGCCTCACGCTCATTTGATAGATAGATAATAGGCCTTGTGGCTATATGTGCCCATTTATACCTTCATGTATCTGTTTAATTTTTTCTAGTTAAAAGCAAAATGTGCTCAAATGGAAAAGACGATGAGATGGTGGTCGGATTGTACTGCCAGTTGGAGAGAAAAATGGGGTAAGGTTAGGGGTGAGAGGAACAAGTTAAAAGAGGAAGCGAAGGTACTTCATGTTCGCAATGAAACACTCACGAAAGAGTTCAACAAGACGAAAGCTGAGTTAGACGATTGCCTTCTAGAGAACCAATCTCTGAGAAATGAATTGAATAAGTGCAAGCTAGAGCTCAAGAAACTAGACAAAGAACGACGAACAGCAGTTGTGGAGCCTCATCTTGTACAGATGGAAGGGGTAACTAATGGTAAAATGGAGCTTGTAGACTCACGACCAAACAACAGTGTATACGCAGCCACTGTGCCGAAGTCAGGTGGAGAAATGCAATTTTTAGAGCAGATTCTCGGTGACCAGAGAGGAAGTGCAAGTGAGCCGCATGAGGTTAGCAAGAAAGAAAGAAAAGGAGATGAAACATCTAAGGCTCGAGATATCAAGGAATACGAGAAAGCTTTTGGACAGAAAACAAGGCAAGTATACCCAACAAAAAGTTTCTTGTACATACTTTTATGTTGTCATCTTGTAAAGTTAGGTACTTGGTGTAATTTGAATTTTATCAGATAAAAGGGTTTCGGTTAATTGGTGTTCATGTTGAATCCTTGTGATTGATTCATTGGCTCGTTATATTTTAGGGAGAACATAGCACTGAGATCTCAGCTAGAGCAAATGAGAAGATTCATCCAAGAGAGAGAGCAGAAATACATAGAGCTCAGCTCAGTCAACGAGGGTCTGAGTGCCGAGGTAATAATAACCCAAAATCAAGCATCTTATATAATCTTGTATGATCTCTAGCAAATTTTTCTAGGGCCGTTTCTCTTTGCCTCATACGGCGGAAATCGAAGGCCACGTGTTTAAGACTTGGGTCACTGCCAGAATTCTGGCACTGATTTGATTGGTCCAGACAAAGACTCTCTGACGTTATTCTTATTCTCTGCTGAATAATTTATAATGTTATTGACGATGTTTTTCTCACTCAATGGAAAAATAAACTGCTCTTATTGATATGAATTCTGCTTCACAAAGTTTTTCAAAGAAAGTAAGAGAAGTACGACAGCCTCTTTCTGGAAAGAAAGTAAGAAGAGTTTTAGAGACTCGACAGCCTCTTTCTGGAAATCCATCAAGAGCTGCATTGCAAAGCGGTGCTGAAGCTTTGGCGGGCTGTATGCCATCGCACAGAGTTACAAAACAAATTAAACTTCTCAAAAAAGCCCTTATTTTCGAAACTATGCGTGAAATGGACATTGAAACTTGGTATAAACTTGTTTGCTTTTTATCCAGATATCAGGATATAATTTTTGACTTTAGTTTATGATCGTTTTCGATGCGTGAATTTATGACGAGCTTACGATTCGATTTAATATTAAAATTATTATGCCTAACATACCTAGCCAGCAGTTTATTCTCTGACCACGTTTGCTATGGGTCTTCGCAAAAAAATAGACATTAATTCAAAGCTTCAGAGAGCGATTTAACCTAAAGCGATTGTAATGAGTTCTCCATGTGTCTCTATTGTAGATTGATAAGTTAAAAGAGAAGGGTGGAGAAAGCGATGAAATTGTCTTATCTCCAGACGCAGCAGGCACAAAGGCCCAAGACATCAAGCTAAAAGAACTCCGAGTCGAGGTAAAAGAGCCCCGAATCAATGTTTGTATTCTCATTCCCTTCTATTTAGTCACGATTTGCGTAGTCTTTAGCCGTGCTATGAATGCCCACGTCTTTGCAGTCAAACTATCTACGTAATGATCTAAAGTCACTGCTACTACTCATGTTCTTGAAGTGTCTGCATTAGGAATGTGTCTGAGGATTTTAAGAGCTTTGCTGAGAGTTTCTCAATGTTTATCGTAGTCTAAACATTTTCCCAGAGACTTCAAGGCTTGAATTCAAAGCTGAGATGAGTTTGCTAATGAAGTAGGATTTTGATGCTTTGTAGTTAAAGGAATGTAAACAGTTCTTTAGGTACTTCCAGAAGTGCTCTATGCTTTATAGACAAAGCTGTACACGCTTTGGTGTTTGAACGAACAGTTGCTTGATGACCTAATGGATACTGCTTTTAAGATGATTAAAAGTCCAGTGAAAACCTGGCTATATGCATCATTCCACAAAGATCTTATCGGGGCCCATTCTTTTTCACCATCTATCTTAATGATTTTGAAAAGTTGCCGTTGGCATTTTGCAGCTGCTGGTAAACATTTACTTTAAGATTACATGATAAGAAAGACTCTCATGAAAAGGCTCAGGAGGAGCTGCTTAACATTTCGGAGTGGATATATTAATTGCGCTTGGTATAATAATTAAGGGTTTGAATAGAATTGAAAAGTATCTGGTTGATTATCGTCTGTAAAACGATATCCAAAACTCCATCTTGGTTCTCTCTACTCTGTAGTTTTTAAAAACCACTTCGAAATCCCTCCGAGAATATGAATTGAATTCCAACAAAACTTTCTTGAACAAAACAACAAAACAACCCTTCCTCTAAATTATCAATTTTTATATAGATATCGTTCTTTCTAGCTGTATATATGTAGCTATGCTGAAAGGATTTCTTGTGTGTATAATTCCTCGAACTTCCTTTTATTTCCTATTGCAAGTTACAGTTACAACTATGCATCTCACTTTTTAAGCAGTTTACTTTTAAGGCAGTTTTTAGTTTTTTTATTTCAACGTTATACAACTATTTTCAATCGAAATTCCATCGAATCTCAATTTTTCAGTGTCCTGTTTTTTAGATAAAAGTGATATTTACTGAACCTGAAGGCCATATTCTTTGTTTCATTTACATATTTGTTAGGCAGATTTATCGAAGTTATCTTTGAGTATAGATATCAAAGAGTCAGATGAATTTATCATGATTCCAAGTGCACTCGTTAATATTTTTATGAAGTTGATAGTGAATTATTGTAGTTTAAGACTGAGAAGTAATGGATTGTATTTGAATGGTTTACGATCGTTGATCATTTGGGTGTTAGATTCGAAACCTAAAGTTACCTCAAGCAGATGAGGAGTTGATTTGCTTGAGGTTAGGATAAGATCTTGCTAGATAGAAGCACCAGTAATTAGGCATGGAGATTGAATTGTGGGCGGATCAGCATACAGTTAAGAGCTTTTGGATAATAAAAGAGTTTTTGCAAGTCAAAGAAGGACTGAGATATGGCGCCAGGTGAATCTACACTCGTCAGGGTATGATCTGCAGCTGGAGGGTTTCAGACAACGTGCAGCAGGGTTTCAGACTAGAAGCAGAAAGAGCATACAGATGTTTGAGAATCTGCAGATTTTTGAAAATCTGCAGATGTCACCACTTCCAGACATTTTTCCTAGTTGCAAGGGTATTGTTCAATTATTTAAGGATGAATTTGAAGATATTTTTTGGCATTTTCTGTTGCACTGTAGAGCGCAGAAGACAGGAGATTTTGCTGTCATGAGAAGTCAGCTCAAATTTTATGAAAACCTCTTTTGTTCCTTGGAGTGACATTGAGCATTTCCTTTGTTTTTCTATACTACTCGTACTGGATTTCGCAATTGAAACAAGTATCTGCCTCAATGATGTTAATTTCAGATTTAGGGGATGATTTTAGAGGGTTGTGTATAACTGTCTGGCACTGTGCAAATTAAATAAAGAAAGGGTAAAATAAGTGACATTTGGATCTGGTTAAGACAAAGGTGCCGAGCGTGCCATTTAACGGCAGCTCTGGACAAAATATTGTGGACACAATACTGTTAATGTTTATTATTTAGGTTAGAAATAGTGAAATGCTTGACAGTTTGGAAAGGACAAAACGTTGATCTAAAGGATGTTTGTTCTTTGAGCGGCAAGGTATGCTGTGTATTTTGCTCATAAGGTATTTGGTTAGATCTTAAACTTCTGACATATGATTCTTGTTATCCATGTTGGTTGAAGTACCTTTCTAAACATTTTGAAGGGTTACAAATTTCAACCAGGGGCGAGGGCAAAAACGAGCAATTTGTGGCTATTATTTTTAGCTTTTCCTGGTAGCGTTAGAATTAAGATTTCTTTCAAAACCTGTTCTTAGTTCAACTAGATATAAACAATTGTTAGTGTTTGTAAGAAGCAGGTCACGGATGTATACCTAACCAGATATGATACAAGGGAGATGAAGCGAGGTAAATGAACATATAATGAGGTATCTCTTTAATAAACATAAAGCAAAAATGTCTTTGAGGGTAGTGTCTCATAGTAAAACGCCCTTTATCATGTACTTTTGAAGTGCTGCAACATCAGGAAGTAGTGATGAAGGTTGCCCGCATAAAGAACACTCAGGAGTGGGGCTAAGTTTCTAAAGGCGCATGTTCTTCAGTGTAGAGAGTGCGTTAGTTGGACAGAACACTGTGAAATTAACAATGTGAAACATATGTTTTTGGCATCTTGCTTTGTACAGAAGACCAAGAAGAGTTTTTTGATTGATTCGTTTAGCATCGATGACAAGGTGGTCCCTTGCAAAGGAAAATATTCTGTTAACCGTTCTTGGTGTTCTTCGTGGAAAGTCTTGATAACTTGTTTAATGTTTTGATGGACGTCATTGTTGTTGACAGATGTAAGATAATATTGTCTTGATCTTATGACTTCAGTTGTTGGCAGATGTAAGATAAGACGTAAGATATTTTTCGGTCAGACGAGATGGCTAAATGTAGAAATGACTAATAGAAATTACGGTGTTGCAGCTTAGGATTATTATGTTCTACGCACCAAAGTATGATATAATATGTACGGAATAAATTCGTAAAAGCATGCTGTTAGGCTTGTACTCCCACTTGTCTACCTTATTGTTTTACATGCATTTTCTTTTTTAATTTCGTTAGGACCTTGATATTTATTCGGGTTGCACTTTTTTGGGCTGTTTGCTATACACTTTGTGTCTTGCAACTAATGTATTACCAATTATGGTAATACATTAGTTGCAAGACAAATTTTATACAATACATGTTCACATCGATTTCCCTGTACCTTAGATGTGGCACTAGAAACTAACGCTTCTAGATTACGTCATAACTCCGTTAAGCTAATATTTGAAGAAATGAACAGGAAAGTTTTGTAAAGACTGGTGTTGCAACCCTGAATGTTACCCTTAGACTGTCTCATTTAATGATACATAGCATAGGTAACAAAACCCAGACTATTAGCGTACCTTCTTCATTAATTATCTTCTTTAAATCAGGCTTTTTGATAATACTAGATCAATTTTTATGTTTTTATCTTTTCTTGTTGCAGATCGAGAGACTTCAAAAAGAAAACGCAGAAGAATGGAATAAGCGAGAACAGGTGGAGACAGAAAAATTGTCTTTGGAAAGGGAAATCAAAAGACTTAAGGCCCAGATTGAAGTGAGCAGCTGATCTTGATTCCCAGAAATGATTTCGTATTTGGAGATTTTTTTGACAAAGGGATCCTTCCTAAGGAAATTGTTTGTTTCCTTTCAATTCCCAATTTATCTAACTCTCCCAAGTTGTCATCTAAAGAGTTTCTGTCTTTTGAATCATACGCCCACATGCCTGCTTACTATAGCTTATTTTCTCTTCTATCCAGGATCTTGAAGATGAGATACGAAAAAAGACAGACCAGGTCGCCCATGCTCAAAATTCTGCCACGAAGTTCTTACAAGAAGAGCTTGAACACAAATCTCAGGTTCAGTTCGCAAATTTTCACAAATTTTATCTTGTGACATCTTTACTCACCGCATGTGTAGGGAGATATTGTTGGTTTCACGGAGCGTGTATCTTGAGTTTTCAGGTGTTTTGGACTGTTTCTTATGTTAAACAGATTTATTTTTACAGTTTGTGTGGCGTATTGTCTCACATTAATAAGAATATAAGTTTTAGTCCAAGATAAGCTTTTTAAAGAAATCTTTTTGTTCAGGTCGTTTCAAAATCTTAAGTCCATTCGTTAAATGATTGATAATTCTGAAGATTTTTCTCAAACAGCTGAAATGTTCCCACAGTTAGCACCTTGTTTCTTCATTCGGTTTTTAAACCTACCTTCCAGATTCTTTCTCGACCAGAGTCAGTTTTCCAACTATAGCACCACGTTGCCGCCAAACTCTTTGCACTTTCTGTCTATATTTTGATAGAGCAAACTTTGTTTATCTACGTGATTAGATCATTTTTTATTTCCGTACAAATTATCAACTTTCAAACATATTTTGCTTTCAAGTTAATTTTTATACTCGCTAACCATGCTGTTCCTTAGACATGGATTTAGTTTACGTGGCTTAAGACAATGGGACCATATTGTCTCCCCATTTTTTTAATTCAGTGTTTTGGACCTTGCACAGAAAGTGCAGCTGCAGTTTTGTGATATTTTCTCTAGCTAAAATTTTCATAACAGTTTTCACTATGAATCAAGGAATGTAAGCTGGTACTTTGGTCCATCGATTAAAAAATAATTTTGCAGAAAGCTGATTGTTCAAAAAAGTAAACAAATCACATTTATTTCAACTGTCATCAGTTCGAAAGTTCGAAATCCTTTAGGCCACCAACAAACGTCGCAAATTCTTAACAGTTCAGGACAGTAATAAATTTTAGCTGTAAACATAAAATAGTTCTGCTGTTGACAGAATTTCTGTCTGAATTTGTATGCCTTTGCTCCAGTAGTATAACCCTACTTTTTCTTAATATAGCAGAGATATCAAATCAATGCTGTCTCTTCTTTATTTCTTCCAGGAGCTTCTCGAACTAAAATTGGCACACAAAAGAGCTCAAAAGCAGCTGCAGGAAAAGGTAAGGTAGCTTGCTGTCGCTATGTAAAACAGAAATTTATTTTGCTCTAGTTTATTTGATAGCATCGTTGACACTTAATTGGTTCGCGCAGTTACATTAAGCGTGATAGCCTGTGATCTTCTTTTGATGTCAGGGAGAAGCATTGTTCTTGAAAATTTGAATACTTGTCAACATGTTTCCAACCGGCTTATTTTTTGAAAGGATTTTCAAGACTTTCTGTGAAGATCATCAAGAACAGTCGACAAAGATTTATTTAAATAACAAGCACTCATTTTGTAGATAATGTAACGAATGTTACAAAATCAATTTCAGACCCCAGAATTTCAAAATTTCCAACAAAAAATTAAGAAGATGCATTCTTAGCAAAGCAATTGCTTGCATATACGAAAAGTAGATAGGCCTAGGCCTTCCTTTTTTAAAAAAAAATTAGTCAACAGTTATGTTGAGGTGAGCGGCATTGTCTGGATTACACTGATTGACAATGTTTGTAAACTTGCGTAAAAGTACAATAGTCCCAGTCTTAAAGGATTGAGACTACCACACAAAGCACAACAGCACTTCATTTCAAAGTCAGTTTTTTCTGTCCAGCTTTGTCTTCAGAGCTGTACGAAATATCGTCATAGACAGACTATAACCATTTTCCCAGAGGAATTCGATCACAGCATTTGATTAGAATTCCTGAAGACTAAAGAATCTGATTAGTATTTCTACCAGAGCTCATTTTAAAAAATGAGAGCCAAATTTGATAAAATCGGATTTTCCATGAATTGAATGCCCAACAATTGCACTGTATTTTTCGCGTTTTTTCAGACGGTTTTTATACTTTGAAACAGACTAGTTTATGGTTAAAGAGAACTAGTTTTACGCCTTTCTCGCGCACTCTAGTTCAGATTCGTGTTCTAAAATGAATCTTTATTCTCTGTGGTGGGAATCTAATAAGCCACAAAATAATGTTTTATAAAGGCATGATTTTGTGAAAATAGTTTTAAACTGCACTACATTTTTACGATGTTTTCTATTTCTATAATTTTATGTATGTTAGAAATGAAGTTTAATTCAGTATGACATTTAAAACTGCTAGATTGACGAGCTGGATCACGAGAAAAAGCGAACAGAGCAATATGAGGGAGAAATGAAGAACTTAGAGGAAGGGTCGAGGAGCTGAAGAAGAAGTTATGCTCAACAGAAGAAAATGTAAGTGTTTCAACTTATTTGGCATTTTCATGTAGCTCTTTTTTAACCCCTGGATGCAAGTTTATTATTGACATCGACAATTGAACAAATGATCTCGCTACCAGCTAAGTATTATGTTACTGACGTTTTTCTTTGAATGTGTGTACTGCCATTTCACAAAAGAGTTATACTGCCCCAAAATGCAACTTTAGAATCTAAGGCTATGACTCAAGCGGAGTTTGATCGAATAATTTCTTATGTTTGAGCACAAGTTTTGTTTGCCATGACACTTGTTTCTGTGTTACCCTAGATAATGGTTTAATGGCACACTAAATAATTCTTAAAAAGCATTGACTGTAAGCGGAGTGTAAATGTAAGCGGATATTTATTGAATGGTTTTGCACGTGTTTGGTAAGAAGATAATGCACTTGTTATCTGTAGACTGACTTAAAATGTGGTGACTATTAGCAGTCGACTAGCAAAACTTTGAAGTACCAATTTATACTTGAATGTTTTACCTTCTGAATCTTTTACTTGCCTGATTCAAGGCTGATGCCCAGTCAAACCTTGTGCGTCGTTTGCAACGACAACTTGAAGAACAGTCTCAGCAAGCGGAAAGTTTGCAATCTGAAATTGGCCATCTAAGCAGTAGGTATGTAATCGGTATTCCCAACTGATTTTTACCATACCGCATTTGATCTATTTAACGCCCTATTCCTTTTTAACGCCCCTTCCTAATTAACACCCACCCTAAAAGTGAAAAAAGTTAATTAACGCCCACTTCCTTTTTAATGCCCCCTTTCTATTTAACGCCACTGGACGCACCAAATGTTATGTTATGTTCTATTGTGTTATGTTATGTTGTTAGGTGTTATGTTGTGTTTTATGTTATTTTAAATTAACGCCCACTTCCTAATTAACGCCCCTTTGTAATTACCGCCCATTCTAAAAACTGCTTTATACACACTAGCCTTCTTTTTTCTTCTGCTTTATTTTCATAGCTGCATTGTAACTTCTATGTGTGCCCCATGATATAAAAACAACAACAGTGTTTTCATGATAATCTTTACACATCAAAGTTGTCTAGTACTTGTTCCGCTCGAAATTGAGACATAAGAATGCAATTGACTAGCAATTTTTTCTGCCAAAACTTTTTCTCATTTATCGTTTTCCTACATTACCAAATTACCACCACTTATATCAAGACCAAATCGCTGTCACTTTTTTGACGTTTTGCGATGCTTCTATGAATCTTAAAAGTATCAATTTGAATTTATTTGCACCTTCCTCTCTTTAAAGATCCAGCTAGCTTTCTTTTATTTTTTCTCTTAAATACTTACTAAGATTTACGTCAAACTTTGTTCGTAACACAATCAGCATTCTTTTATTGGTTTTGCAAAATGACCAGGTCTATATTGTAGGTTTTTATTCACAAGAACTGTCATAATATCATAGTTTCTCAGTGCGGTAGAATACTGTAATGACTGATCTTTTATGATTTTTCGTAGATTGAAAAGGCAAAGTTTTCCATTGAAAATGAAGCCTGGCGATGCATCAGACGAAGAAGCTGAACAAATGTAGAGAAGTAAAATTTAAAGTTTTCCAATTTCCTTGTGCTTTCATGACAACTAAAACAGTTAACAATCAACTTGGGGCTGACCCCTTGTAATAAAATGCTATTTGCATATTAAGTAATGCTGGTTAATGTTTTGGTCTGGTCTCTCCCTATCTAGGCAGAATCTAGGTTAATACCCACCGTTTATAGACCTAAGCCAGACGCTACCGAAGCAATGAGCTTGCGTACTGACAATTTAGAGATTTTTCGCAAGGTGTTAAGGAATACAATTTAGCAGACAGCCCCCTTATTTCCATAAATGCCCCTGCATTGACACCTGCAATATAAGGGGTCTAGAAATGACCAAACTTCCCTTTTAGCAGATACCTTATCAGCAGGTTCTTAAAGTGGGCTGACTGTGAACTTGTGAGGAAAGCACATGGAAAATTTGCGGGTTCATTCTAAAGAAATTCATTTTATGTTTTTTGGCTTATGTAATAGGCCATGTCAAATACAGTGTACCCATTGCCGCCATGAAATGTTTGCATTTTTAGTATAGTAGATATGTTCATTGTCAATAGTTTCAAAGAGTTCTCATATTATTTTAAATCCCAAATCTTTGCTTGCAAAGTATTAAGATATAGGTATTCTGCAAGTAAAGATTTAGGATTTTGACTGTATAAAGAGGCCTCAGTATTACACAAGTAAAGATTTAGGATTTTGACTGTATAAGCTTTAGGCCTCAGTTGCACTTAACTGGATAGTTCTTCTCGTATTAAGATTTTTAAATTGGACAGGCCTTTAGTTTACATCTTAACAATGTTTTCTAAACTGTTTTGTAAGCATCGATATTTCTTGGAAAAATGTTTGCTCCAAGAGTGCCAAAAATATCATTCTTTTATGAAACTCAAATGTGTTCACCTAATGCGATGCCATCTCATATCAAGCATCAACTTTGCCATCGTTATCAAAAACCGAGTTCTGATACCTCTATGGCATCAATGTTGACAGATTTTTTAAATGAATACAGAAGCAAATTTCTTGCAGTTGTGTTTTGTTACTGCAATGGAAAACAGCAGGTAATTTTTGGAACGCTCAGGTGCAACCGTACGCTATCCAATACAGTGTAACTGGGAACCTTTATCCAGTGAAGTCAAATAATGTACAAAACTCCCTTTGAAAGTTTTCATAGTCATATGACTATATTATGCACGTTCCCGGTACTTTTACTGGTTCGCTGATTCTATGATAGCGTAGGTCACGGGCTGTCACAATAGACTGTCAATTGCAAATATAGAATGTATTCAGCACCAAATACACAACTCCTTTTAGAATTAGAAAAAATAGAAATTCATCCAGATATTATTCATTATTGATTTACTTGTTCCTACATGATTAAACGTATAATTGTAAAGTATAAAGGATAGAGATATAAGAATATATAGATATAGAATTATTGATACTTAGTAGATGCTGAGAATAGATAAGATATTTGCCTGGGAATGTCATGGGCTTTTATATTAAAATAATGACGAGCACTTGATTATAAACAATCAACCATGGAATATTGTATGTCAAATAAGAGATGGCAGAGAATCCCTTTGTTTAGGGGTAAAGCAATTCTTGTTTTGAGAGATCATGTCAGCTTTAAAAAGCTTAGACGAAAGTCTTCTTATAATGGCAAATGAAAGAAGTTACTTTTTATCATCAAAACATAGTAAACTAGGTTGATGGTCTCACTCAATTGTTTAAAAAATTATTTTGATTTTTATTGACAGGTGCATGGGTAAAAGATATGTTAAGGTATTATCAATAACCAATTGTAATTCCAATAATATTCTGCTTCTTTTAGTCAAATTGTCAAAAGAAAGTGTTTCACATTTAGAAAAGATATTTCAAAGATAAGAAATATTAGTAATCTTTTTTCCCTTAGGGAAGTTCTGTCTTTTATTTTATGAAAGATACTTTTATTTTGTGCATATTGTTTTATGAATACAGTTCAATTCAATTATAGAATTATTTATCCGTTTAAAGCATTATCTTGTATTTTAGTTAGCTGTTCAGAAAGTTAACTGATCTTGTTTTCTATTTTAGTTAGTATGTGAAAACAAACGATCATATATAGAAGTGTATTATCGGCATGCTAAAAATGCCTTTAAATGAGCAATATTTGTCGTTTATTTGTCTCTTGGCTTCCGATAATTGCTCTATCCTTTAAACATACTCACAATATGCATTTGATAGTTCTTTATGATCAACAAGGCTTTCATATCCAAAGGTTTGGAATAAAGATGGGACCAGTGGAAGTAGATAAATTGTATTTTATGGCCTTCCAATGTATAAGTTCAAGTCTTCAATATAACCCCAATTTTTAATATCATAAATTCTTTCTCGAATATTTTGCTACAAATGCTATGTTATTTCTCGAAGGTCAACTATTCTTAAAAGTTGCAGAATCGAAGCCATTTATACGATTTACGCTGTTTTTTTCTTTTTACAATGTAAAGAGACAAGAAAAATACAGTCAAAAAGTGCAATTTTTCCAACATCAATTTTTGGATGTTTTTCCAGTGGTTCTAATAGTGGTTTTATGGTTTAGACAGACATGAAATATGAGACATGGTTACCATTTAGACTGCTTTTCCCTTCTTTAATCCATAGAATAATGTTGTTAAACGAAAAAGATATGCCTTAAAGTGCCACTTTTCATGGCATATTGATTTACTTTTTTTATGTTTTTAACAGCAGTTTCAAAAATGTCTATAACCCTAAAAATAAACAGCATTTGAGCAATTTATACAGTTCAGGCTGCTAATTTTTCACATATGAATAAAAATGCTTTTTGAATGAAAAATATTTTTTCCTAAAAATGCAATTTTTCAAAGCCTATAGCCTTATTTTTTCAGGGAATCCTACAGTTGTTTTAAAAAGGTCCACTACTCTAAAGATACACAGAATATGAGCCATTTATAAAGCTCCAGTTGCTGATTTCATCCTAGAAATGTTTATTGAAAGAACAATATTTTTGCCTAAAAATGCTCAATTTTTCAAAGCCTATTATAGCCCTACTTTTTTGGAGATATTTACAGTGGTTTAAAAAACAACTACTCTAAGAAATACACAGAATATAAGCCATTTATAAAGCTCTGGTGGCTAATTTCATCCTAGAAATGATTTTTTAAACGGATAATATTTTTGCCTAAAAATACAATTTTTCAGAGTCTACAGCCTTCTTTTTTTAGGGTTTTTTAACAATGGTTTAAAAAGTTCCACTACTCTAACAGTAAACAGAATATGAGCCAATTCTACAATTAAGGCTGCTAACTTCTTACAAGAAATGGTTAAAAAAGGTTTTTTTAACAAAATAATTTTTGCTAATAAAAGAGATTTTTAAATTTACTTTTTGCAGATTTTAATGATGGTTTAAAAAAGATATAAAATTCTAAATACAAACACATATGAGCTATTTATGCAACTCAGACTGCTTTTCCCTTCTTTCAATGCAAGCAAAAAAGTATGCCCAAAATGCAATACTAAGCCTAGAGCCTTGCGTTTCTGGGGTTGAGTTAGTTTGTACTTCTCTTGGTTTTATAGTATACAAAGGCTACACTTCTTATGATTCTTAAACTTATATCGGAAAGGTCCACTGACCCATTCACAGGCAAAATATGAGCATTGATACGTATCAATTGCAATTTCTTAAGCAAGCTGATTTTGAAAAAAATAAACGCAAAAATGTGTTCTATAGTATTTTCTAGTCAATCAGGCTGACTTTTGTTTTGTTTGACACTTCTGTCTGGATGGTCTTCTACATTTAGTTTACATCAAATATAGAAGTGAGATACAAGTTATTTGATCTTTTTAACTTCATGGTATCTTTGCAAACAAAAGACAAAATCTAATCAAACAACAAATTTACAAAATTGCATGATAACATTGGCAAATAAACTTTTCAAAAATACAACTTACAGATCAAAATTACAATGTGCTTAATGTAACATGAAATAAAAAGAAGTCAATCATTATAGAATTACTACTGGGTAAAAAAAGTAAATAGTAAGAAAGATAAAACAGATAAAAAGATATAATAAACAATATATCAACTTTTTGTATCTTGGTTTTGTTGCATTAGCAATCTATGAATTTAAAATTACCTCAATCAAGTCACATGAAGGACAGAAAGAAAAAACAAAGTTTAAAGAAAAATGAAATCTGGATGCAAAAAGCTAGCAAAACAATAATCTAAACTGCTAATGCTTTCCGTCATATGTGTCTTTGCCCTTGTACCCGCCAACATAACCAGATGCAGCTTTTTCATCAAAATCTTTGCGACCTTCCAGCCCTTTTCCTTTACCAGATTCGTCAAATCTTTCTTTGTGACTGCCAGTGTACTTTGAAGTATCTGTAAGTCTATCCACACCTCCAGCTTTTACAGCTTTCTTTTATTTGGAAAGGAAAATTGAGTTGATTATACACAAAAGATAAAAGGATTGAACAAAAGTAAAATTTAAGAAACACAAGGTTTTTACATTATTGGAGGGGCAGGAGCCCCCTAACAGCAACAGTTCTTACAGCCATCGAGGGGCGATTCACTCTTGCAAATAATGTATGAGATTTTGCCTTAAACAAAAGGATTTTGGGGATTTTCAGCAAGGATGGGGATTTTCAGGTAAAACAAAAGGATTTTCACAAAAGGTGTACAAGATTTTCTTAGAGTGATTTGCCCCTCGACAACCATAGTATCTTGCTTCCACTGCTTAGACACTAGTCAAACTCTCAGGTAACAATAGCAGGCACCACAGAGCAAGGAGGGCTGGCGGGGCTTTAGCCTAAAAATGCCAAATTTTAAGTATCAAATTACAAGAAAAGCCTCTTTTTATACGGTTTTAGGCCCCCCCCCACTTTTTTTAGACCCCCCACTTTTTTCAACGCTTCATGGTGCCTGAATAGATGCACCACCAGCCCAATAAAATGCTATTAATGAAATTCCTGCCTTTTCCAAACAAAGAAAAAGTGATTTAAGGCTTAAAAATCATGAAATAATTAAGAAACATTTTTCAAAATCAATAACCATTTTGATGTTGATAAAACAATTACAGGGTATTAATGATAACAAAAAGTAATGGCTTACAGTGACTCCACTTGCTTTAGGCCCGCTAGTCTTTAGAATAACCTCTTCCAACTTCTCAACATTTGGTTCACCATACTTTTTTTCTGCAAGGAGCTTCAGGGCATCTTGGAACTGCTTATATGTTATTTTTCTTTCAGTCTTCCTAATAAAAATTACAAAAAACGATAATACCCCTTTTTTGTCAGTAGTTCCTTTGCCCAAATAAATTGATCATAGTTTTTTTGAAAGATTATAAGGAGTTAAACAATGATTAGTGGGTTCATTCCCCAACTTCTTGACAGGAACAATTTTCTATTTTGTCTAAATTTGATACATTTTTCAGTTTTATGTTCAGTTGATATTTTGGTTTTTTAATTGCTAGGATAATTTAGAAATTGAAATCCTGAAAAGTAGACTACTTCCTTTGTTGATTCTCAAGTTTAAGATTCAAGCCCATTTTCTGGAGATTGAAAAAACAATTCCGCCTCTATTATAATCCTGCCTCTTGAATAATCCTACATTTAATTAGGTGGTTTAATCAATAAACCCACAGCGGGAATATAAGAGAATCAGTATTAAAAAGAAAATAACATACACTTTTCTCTGTGGGAAAGCTTTGCTCTCTGTTCTAGAGAGAAGAATCCTAAGCCCTTCACCTTAGTTTTAATAGTTGCTGCCATTATTTGAAATGTCATTAACACACAAAAATATGTTTACTTTAGAGAGATTCCCCTATTATATCATTTTGTAAGGCACAAGAGTGCAACTTCAGTGTAATGCTGTCATTAAAAAGAGCCTTCAAAGTTTCTTTAGACAAAATTTGTTTCCCTACAATTTCCCTTTTGTTTAATGTGAACCTATTTCTTAGTTTTTAAATGATAAAACAGCAAGAGAAAATAACATAAAGATAATGGTATATAAGCTACGGATTGACAGACGTAGAAGTTCCTATCGTTTCTTCTCAAGTTTAAAGGCTTCTTTGGAAAATAAACGAATGAAAGGTGTGGCTTGGGTTTAATACTTTCCTTTCCTCTTATGTTTTATTTGTTCTACTTACAGTAGTAATGCTCAACGGTCTTTTAATACCACCCTAATAGATATATTTCTATTTGTAGAGTTGGCCGTTTTTATTCAAACAATGTTTAAGGATAGTCACTTTTTTGTTCATTTCGTCATTGCCCCTAACCATCCCTTCAATCAGAAAAGTTATTTTATGGCCCTTAATCGTGTAGTGTTATCAAAACGGAAAATAAAATGGAAAATTAGCTGAAGCTGGGTTTTCTCGAGAACTGTCAACCAATCTGTAACATCGTAGCAGAAAAACGATGACATATCCTCACATATTTAAAAGCATTGCTTTGTTTGGAATGCTAAATTTTGGCGAGAATCATGATGAAAAAGCATAACAAGATTGACTCACGCCTTTACTTTGCTGAAGATGATGTCAACATCAGTTGCAGTGAGTTTTTTGTCCAATATCTTCGTGTCTCGGGCGAATTTTGCAAATTTTGCATTGTCCATCAGTGGTGCTGCATCTTTGGCACCAAAGGAGCAGTAAGATTTGAAAAGTGTCTCCATTTTGCCTTCAATTTTACCCACCGCTGTCAGAAGCACAGTCTATTCGGGAAAGTCGATAACAGTAAGCTTGACGCCACCCCCACATTATGTTTGTTGACAAAATTCCACCTGTTTTGGCGGTAAACGACGTCTATTTTGCAGATCAGCCACTGCTCCTCCGCAACTCCCAAATGCTACTACTTTCTGACTCCTTTCTTTCACGTTCCAATGAAAAATCACATAAAAAGTTGTAATTTAAATTCAATAAAGATATGAACTGGAAACTGATGACACAACTTGGGATAAACATTCAAACATATTTCACTATTCACATTAGATATTTTGCCAGTATGTTTATTATTGGTTCGGTTTTATGTAAATAAGGAAACAAAGCTTGGTATTTATATTTTAATAACTATGAATGCAAGTAAATTTTACCAGGAATAAATAAAATGTTAATGATTAATCTTAATAATTTATCTTTTTATCTGGTCTTAATAAAATTTACTTCATCATTATATTTGTCGAATCTTTATGATATTTATCTTAGTTTCCTTAGCATGTTGTCAGTGTTTCATATGTTGTATTTTATCACTGCATTAACTTATCCTGATTAACGCTATATTGCAATATTAAGTTGTAACTGTGTTGAAATACATGGTTTTACTTACAGCTTAGCCAGACGAGTTGAACATAAAACTGGCTTAAAAATCAGCAAATCTTAGATACTGAGAGCAAATATTTACTCCTGTCACTCTATTTAATGTACATTATAAAAATGCCCAAACGTTTTTTTTAAAGAGGAGAAATAGAAATGACAGGATATTGATACCTGGAAAGCATTCTGGTCCGTGTTTTATGAAAGCTGTCCTGCGGCCTTGGAACTACCATCGTTGGCATGGCAGCTACAGTCAACAAAACTTCCTCGCGTATCGCATTACTGTTTAAAAATGTAGCCTGATCTCTTTACGTGTAAAAGATTAGGTGGATCTCAGCAAATTAAAAAGAAACCGTTCTGACATACGGAAAGTTGGTAAAGCGCCTTATGAAAATTCAATAGAGAATCTGGGCAGGGCCGTCATCAAACAACTCATAGACAATGGAAAGAAATCTCAGGGGGTTGATTGGCCTGAGAAGCCTCCGGGGGCGCCATAAAGAGGGTTATGAACAAAACCACAGCCAATGTTTGAAGGATTTAGCTAATATTTTCAAATTTAGGACAATTTCAAAATATTTTTTCATTATATGATCCAAATTCAAATATTCTAAAAGCAGATTTCTATGACGTAATAATTTACGAACTCTAATGGTGTAATATCCTCAGTAGGAAACATAAAAAGAAGCTTGCTTTAAAGTTTTAGCAGTTCAAGTAGGACTGGCAATCGAATGCGGATACTGTAATGGTCGACAAGAGGTGTACGTCTTCATAATGTCCCTTTGAATGTTGGGAAATCCTTCCTTGCATAAATATTTTCATCAAATGAAATAATTTTTGCAAAATTGAATTATTGTCTCAGACAAATAACCCTTCTCATAATTGTTGTTTAGTTACATAAATCAATTCAATGAATTAAAGCAAATATTTACTTTTAGTAAAATCAAGTAAATATATGCATTATAACTTTCTAAAAAATTAATGAAGAAATCGTTAGCTTCTGTTGTAAGCTTCAAACAAAGTTCCCTCTATCTGAGACAGTTTACAGTTACAATGAAACTGGGCGTAATGTGACAGAGTAAGGGCCAGCAAACTAGGCCTAGTTTTAATGAAACCAGATTTCAAAAAGCGCTAATAAAAAGACAGGATTGCTAGCCCAAGATTTTATATAATGTAGGCCTCTAAATAATGCTAAAAATTCTTCATAAATAAAAGATTTAGTCACCAACTGTGAAATAAAAACCCCGGCCTGCGCAGGCTAGTGTAGACGGAATTGAGTTTGTTGTTTCTGTTGGACTGCTCAACTGCGTGGGAGATAAGATATTGCTGATTGGTCAAAAACAAGGGACCAATCAACTCACCATTCTTCCACTCACGTTATCGTCGACTGGTGAAAAAGATATAAATTTCGGTTATATTATCCAACATTTTATATAAAGTGTTGGACGAGAATTACTTAATTAAGTAAGCTTTGTTTTATATTTTCTTTGAAACATTGAAGAAACAATTTACTTTTGCTTTTCCCTGACTTGTTAAAGGAGAAAAATTTCTTATAGGACTTTTTTAAGTGGTTGTTTGATCATGCTGCATCTTTTCAGTTTCCATCAGATGGATAAAGATTTCAAAATAGTTCGGATTCAACTGGAAATAAATATTCCAATCAGGCTTATACTGTAAAATTACTCTGGAATGACGAACAGGACACGATTAACGGTGGATTGATTCTCAAATCAAAGTTTGATATCTGTAGCTCTGTGCTTTTTGCACAGTACACCTCTGATATTGTTTTTCTTAGTAAATAAATCCATTTTGCAACTTTGATTATTTTACTAAAGTCCGTTAAAAAAACTAACAATTACTTTTCCAGAGCTGTAAACCGAAAAGCTGCAAATTTGTTTTTGATTTGTATTTAACAACTGTCTTAATCTGATATCATCTTTTTATCAGGATATCAAAACTTGAATGAAACAAAACCCCAAAGTGAAAATGATTTTCAAGATTAAAAGCTGGTTATTACAAAATTGATCTTTTTGGATACATCTCTTAACGAGTTAAATACTGGCAACGAGTTAAAATTTTGGAAATGCTTTAATACTAAGTAATGAGAGGTTAGCAACAATATTTACAAATTGAAATGAGAGCAGCAGGTAACCTTATTCTGTTTGGCCTAATCAAATGGATTTAAACAAAGCGCTTATAAATAATTAATGACCAATGCGATCTCTGTGACTTTACAAATCAAATTTTTTAAGAAAAAACTATGGAAACTTCAGGGAATTTTTTGCTTAAACAGAGAAACTAATCATTTCACACCAACTGTGAATCATGGACATGTGTGTGCCATGGAACGGCGAGTTTGTAAAGCTGAGTTGACTTTATTTGTTGCTATCCTTTTTGGGTCGATTGGGTTTTCCTGGCCTAACCCAAATCACTGCAAAGCCGACAAACACACAAATGGTTGTTCTGTTCCTCTTGGGATGAACGCGCCATTTAAAGACGAATTCAAGCCAGCATGTAACAAACATGATATATGTTACGGATGTGTGAGTTTGTTTTAAAAAAACTTGTTTAAAATGGCACACCGCTTAGTTAAAATTGGATATTTTGCTCTTTTTTTGTTACCTCTTGCTCTTTATGTTATTTCCTATTATAAAACACTTTAAAAAGCGCGTAAATGCTTAATGATTCACTTATTAGACTCAATAAAACTTCCTTTAAATCTTCTCAACTGCCTTATACACCGAAAGTTTTAAAGGTAAAATGAAAATATAAACAGAACTCTTCTAGCGTAACGTTGATAGCAAACTTATTTAAAATTTTCATCGCATTGGCATCACTGTTAACGGCAACACAAAGAGATGGGGTGATCAATATGAAGACGTTAAAAATTTCTAGCTCATCTTGAAGTTTTTCTAACGCATGCCAAGAAAATTTTTGAATTTTTGTTCTTCAAAAGCATTACCAAAGAAAATCTTCAGAGTTTGAATGTCAATGGCCAGGGATCAGCATCCTTGGCCATATGAAAAGTATCATAATAGAACATATAAAGTTAAGATATTATATCTGCAACAATTACCTTTATCTAACTCTGCTAGGATAATCAATTCCTTGCAACGGCGTATACCGGCCACTGGCCACACCTGTCCACTATGCTCTTCAAAATATCATAATCTGATCTCCTTAAAAGAAAACAGTAAAAACATCTTTGAAGTTGCAAACTGAATGTTAGGATGGAATCATGCTTCAGTTAGGTGTCCAGTTATTACACATCTGATATCTTGTGGTTTTTTCGCAGGGACATCACTACAACTGGAGTCGTGCTGAATGTGACAAGTCATTTTATGATGACATGAATTTCATTTGCAAAGACATGCATCACTGGAGACGCAAGAGATTTTTAGACATTCTTTTAGATATGTGGAACTTCTTCCATCGCATTGAAAACGGGGAAACTCGGTGCCGGTTAACTGCGGACATGTACTATGAGGGGGTCAGGTTGTTTGCGGATTCGCATTTCGATAGAATTGACCATGACTACTGCAGGTCGCCATGTTCGAGAAAGCACGGAAGTCCAAAGTTTAGAATAGAAACTACTTAGAATATCAATGAATAATCAGTATACATCAGATACAGTATGTTTATATCTGCCATTACTGTTTGGCCTCGAAGTTATCTAAAACTGTAGGCTGAGGGTCAGTAAGGCCTAAGTATCAATTAAACATTAAAATAGGTGCCAAACCATTGCAGCTTTTGCACAAAGCTTGAAAGGTTTGCTCTCCACTCACCCCTTTCCCATATTTTGTCGCTCATCTTACGTTTTCTAACCACTGGCTACTGAAATCTGTATGAGGGAATTAAGAAAACAATTATGGATAATTTTAGAGGATAAAGTGCGAAATATTAGAAGTAGCAGTAATATTTTAAGATAACATGGCCACTGGGGACCGCGGAGCACATTACAGATTGGGGTGGGGGGTGAGGTGGTCTAGAATACTTGTGGATTAACTTGCTAAAAGCTTTGAGAGAGATTATTCATTGTGTAGTTTTAAATTTAGAGGATGCTGGGGGGTGAGCCTCCACTTCCGCGACCCCTGAATTGTATTAGTTTAGCATCCTCTATTTTCATACTGTAACATTGCTGGCTTTTAAAGTATTTTAGTAATATTGCAATGGATATTCTAATGCTCTAGCTTGTTTAAATAAATAGTTTCTATATTTTGTACGTCATATAATGCCAATCAATATTATATCTGATTGAATAGTTTCATGGGTTTATTAAGCAAAAATGGCTAGCTGTTTTAAATGGCCTTAGGCTTATCATTTGTATTAAAACATTTCTATACGGCAATCAATTTCACAGCAGCAATTCAAAGTCAAGTAAACAGCTCAAAAACGATTTTTATTCAATATTTGAGACTTTTGAGTTTAAAATGTTAAAATATCTGGTTGTTTTTTCTTTCGTAACTTCTTAATCTTTGAAAATTGAAAAAAAACCTTTACAAACAGGCATGCAAAGTATTTCGTTAAGAAATATGGTGTATTTAATATTTTGCATAATTAGATGAGTTTAAAAATTAGATACATTTTTCGTATTCTCCCAAGTTGCCGTAAAATTCAGAATGGCTATATATCCAAAGCATTGTTGAAATGAACAAATATCTTTCTTGACTCTGATGCCTATCAGTACCAGTAAAACGAGTAAAATGGCGAAATTCATTTACAAATCATTTGAAACTTTCGTATGTTTTATTAAATATAACATTGAAGTTATATCAAGCTATGATTTAAAAGTTTCTATCCTGATTGATAAGATTGATTGCTTCCTGACCTCCCCTTTGTGACCAATTTGTAAAAACTGTTTTTAAAGACTGGGGTTTTAATATACATATGCAAAACAAATGATGAAAAATTTAGAAAATGAGTATAAGACTATGCATCTACGAAGTAATTCTTTACATCTAAATATTCTACGAATTTTCAGTGAAAAGTAGTGGAAGTCAGTGATGGGACAAGGAAAATGTTAAAAAAGGAAAATCAGTCTTTTGCCAATGAACAAAGCAGCAATTTCCCCTTAAATTAGGCAACCTTAACCTTTGGTGTCTTTCTAACGAACTCCTGTTCATCAATTTTCATTTTGAAATTTACACAAACTTAAGATAGCCTCACTCAAGAAAACTTTTTTCGTTTAACTGAAAACCAAGAAAATTTTTAGTTTCATCAGAGAAAGTGTAATCTGATGCAACACAATGATTCAATTCTGTACGCTATAATGCAAATAAAAGATGTATCCAAATATCTTCATGTAAAAAGGTGGCCAGATTAGAATCTAGCGCCCAGGCTCTCGCATCCGTGATTATGTATCAAATCAAAACTAAAACGTCTAATCTGACGTCACGATTTAGCTGTTACAAATACCTTTTACAATTTGATATCAATCTTCTTTCGTCGAATTCGTTCGTTGTGAAGGGATCATGTTCGCAAGATTTCATCGCAGATCTTCAACAAATGATAATAGCGACGGTGTAGATCCTTGGGGACTCCCGAGACTGCACCGGGCCGCTTATTCAAACCAAATTGAGAAGTTGGTGCAGCTCCTGAAGAAAAAAGGAGCTGATGTCAACAAAGAGGACAGCAAGCGGAGGTAAGTCGCTTAGTGTGTTACCTAAAGTTCTTTGCGAGTTATTTCCGTACATTATTATTTTCATTCGAGATCAATATTAATCTAAGTGGAATAAAACTAGTATTTCACGGTAAGAAGCGAATATTTGATACTTGGAAACATTAGATCTCGTTTTGATGGGGTTTTGTCAGAATTGAGCTGAAAAGGCAATCAACATTAAACTTTCATAGGAAATCAAAGAATTTTAAATAAGAAAATGAAGATAATTGTTTAAGACTGCTTCTTAACATTCCAACAAGTTTATAAATGAAAGAAGTTAATACAAATACTCTTTAGAAAATTAATTAATGAATAGAAAACATAAATAAATTCAAATCATATAGACGTTTTCTGAAATCAGTAAATATATCAAATCACGGCATTTTCTCAAGTAGGTAGTAGACATCTCGAACTTTTAATGAACCTTTGCTCTCCTGAACTCTACTTAGATTAATAAACGAATTTCCCCAATATTATCACATATTGATAACGGACATTGATCTTTGTACCGAAATTACTTGCCCGATAGAAGTTTAAAACCATACGCTCAAACTATATTAAAGTTTTCAACCACAAATGTTTTCTGGCAATCCTTTAGGCTTACAAAATTTATCAATACGAACTGAAAATACATTTCAGGACCGCATTGCACTACGCATGTCTGGCTGGGAGAATTGAAGCTGTAAAGCTTCTTTTAGAGGCCAACATCGTGATTTCCATGGATTCACATGGACAACGCCCGGTCTATTTGGTAAGTAAACATTCCTTCTTTCAGCAGACTTTTAAAATTACTTAAAAAAGCCGGAGACTCTGGTTTTATGACCCAATGTAGGTAGTAAAAAGATAAACTAGATTAGAGGTACACTAGAGAAAACCCTACGATAGGTACACTACAAAAACCTTTCAAAAAGGTAGACTAGGTAAGCCCTACGATAAATATTTCTGTCTCAACGAGTAAGTTGCCCTTAACCAGTATTCAATCAAGTTTACAAGCAGAATAATTTGCTGCAAACTAAACTGAGCATGAGCACTTTCTCCTAACAGGCAATCAAGAATGGTCATTTAGATGTGATCAAAGTCTTCTTGGTCATGAACTTCAACTTTGACATTTGTGATTACGGCGGGATGACACCTCTTCATTTCGCCATTCACAACAAACAAGCTGAGGTTGCAAAGTTCTTGATCTTAGAAGCAGATGTGAACGTAAACGTCGCTGATATGGTGAGTACTAAACGGATTCAAAAAGACATGTTTAATGACTAAACTATGATTAAAGAAAATAGACTTTCCTCTGAGACATTGAAATTTATTAAACTTAGTAAATTGTTTCGGTTCACAGTAAAATGTTATGGCAATATATTTTATGTCTCATTTAGTATTTGCTTACACCACTGCATTTGGGGAGCATATTCGGAATGCCTAGTATTCTGGAACTTCTTTTGCAACGCGGAGCAAGCATTGAAGCAACAGACTTTTACGGGAGGTAAGCGGCAGTTCACTGCAGAATATTTTGATCTATTATCAACAAAAGAAAATAGGAAAAAAGTATATGCAAATTGTAACTGAACTCCTGTATTTGCATCAAAATGAACACAGAGGTTTTTACCTCATACACTTTTAATCCACGTGCGAATCAATCTATATCAAATTTACCATTTAATTGCGTTTCTTTTTCATTAATGATCCATCACTTGTTTTAAAGATAAAATTAATTTATTTATTGTCATATTTCAGCACGTCACTAATAATGGCCTCTGCAAAAGGGCAGGCAGAGTGTGCTGACGTTTTGTTGACACATGGAGCAAACATTGATGCCAAAGACAACTGTGGGCTAACTGCTAAAGATTGGGCAATGAAGGAGAATAATAAAAGGTTAGATTAGAAAAATTTTATCGAACACTTAATCATTAAAAACAAGCAGGGTAAATTTTGCCAAATAAAACAATGAAATCATAGTAAAATGTTTATTCTTTAGCTGATAATCAAGCGATCATATCAACCAACTCATGTTCCGTACCACACCAACCTAAACCTTTCTCTTACAAATACATTTCTCCAATTATTCTGACAAATACTGATTTTAACACCGCCATAATGCAGGATCCTTCAAAAGCTACAAAACGCAGCAGTTGAAGCAAAAAGTCAGCTTTCAGCAACAGAAGACAAGGAAAAGAAATCATCAGTTGAGGAAGATGAGCAAATCCTCAAAGCAAAGAAGAGAAAGCTGGCAGCAGAACTGAGAGTGCATTTTCTAGAGAAACTTGAAAATGCCAAACGGGAAGTCTTCGAGTTAAAAACCCGACTTTCCCATCAAGAACGCAGAGAAAAGCATCTTGTTTTCAAAGATGAATTGAAGAGCAGAATTCTTGTCATGAGTGACAAGATGAAAGAGCAAAGCAATTCTGTCATAAAGAGCTACAATGCTTTATCTGAAGAAAACCGCAATCTTGAGAAAGACATTGAGCATGTAACAGAAGAGGTGAGATTTTTCTTGTTTTTTATTTAACTTCCCGACAAGGAAGATGTTCTAACGTTTGCTTAAATTGCAGATTACTAGAATTATAACCAAATGTCGTTACATTCTATTGTATACATTGTCATGACTCAGTTGTCTTTTCTTGTTTAAAGCTCCAAGCTGCCAAGGTAGAAATCGAAAGACTGAAAATGGCAGTGAAGGAGATCAGTGCAGCAGACAATGGCAACACCAAGAAATATGAGGAGGCAAAACAACGTCTTCAGCAGCATGACATGGTTGTTGCTCGAAACATGTTTCTAGAAGAGGCCCTTGAACAGGCCAATGCAAAAATAGAGGCACTTGAAAAGGAAAACATCGCATTAAAAGCAGAGAAGAAAACAGAAATTTCTCTAGGGCAGAGTGACAAGTGTCTTCAGACAGACATACTGGATAAAGAGCCAAGAGAAAACTATCACGGAACAGACTTCAAAAGCAGGGATGAAGCAGACAAATACAATGAATCAGTGAACACCAAAAGTGGAAACAAAAGAAGACGCAAAAGAGGCAAAAAAGGTGCCAGAAAGGGAAATGTGGTAGCAGCGCAAAGTGAGACAGCGGAGAGCTCGTCTGCTAAAGAATCAACTAGTGATGATTTACTTTCGGAGGATGCAAGCATTGGAAAATCGACATGTGCTGGTGACAAATCAGCCTTAGATGACACAGACCATCGCATTGCAACTCAAGCCAAAACAGAAAGTGACAAATCAGTTGATGCAAAAGAGCCATGCAGCGCAACCCTGATCCCCATGGAAAGTGACAAGTCAGCCATTGATGCCAAAGAGCCATGCAGTGCAACCCAGACCCCCACGGAAAGTGGCAAATCAGCTGTTGATGCCAAAGAGCCATGCAGTGCAACCCCGATCCCCATGGAAAGTGACAAGTCAGCCATTGATGCCAAAGAGCCATGCAGTGCAACCCCGATCCCCATGGAAAGTGACAAGTCAGCCATTGATGCCAAAGAGCCATGCAGTGCAACCCTGACCCCAATTGGAAGTGGCATATCAGCTGTTGATGCCAAAGAGCCATGCAGTGCAACCCCGATCTCCATGGAAAGTGACAAGTCAGCCATTGATGCCAAAGAGCCATGCAGTGCAACCCTGACCCCAATGGGAAGTGGCATATCAGCTGTTGATGCCAAAGAGCCATGCAGTGCAACCCCGATCTCCATGGAAAGTGACAAGTCAGCCATTGACGCCAATGAACAAGCCGGTATTACCCAAGCCACAAGGAAAAGTGGAAGAGATTCAAATGAGAATAGTGGCAGTGAAATTATCAAGAAATCCAACATCAAGAAAGCAGATAAAAGCTCGAGGTATCTTGACGATAAGGCTACTACACAAAGAAGTATCGTGCTTGAAAAATCCTGTCAAACCGAGCTGGGACAAAATGCAGGGATGTTTCCGGAAAATATTGACTGGGGAATGCAAGGTACTTTACCCTTCATAACTTCAATAATTCCTAGAGAATTCAATTCATTTGGTCTTACGAAATTTTCAACATTTATATAGGCTAGTTGCATCTGCTTCTAAGATCGCAAAAGAAAGTGATTATTCTTCTATAACAATTAAGGAAGCTTTATAATAAAGAAAAAATTTACTTAGCTTTACCATTTTTACAAAACAATACAACCAATTGACTATCAACAAACCCGATAGCACAGCAGTGATTTTCTTAACATATATTTTCTAGTTCATTGTAAAAGGATGGGCGTTAAAATCGTCTCTCTTATCCGATATCGAAAACCGTCCCTTCAATTCTATAAAAGATTGTGGTTGATGTATTTCTTTATCACCAACTTCAACAAATCATCTCCATTCTATCAATGACTTTGCTGTAGCTTTCAGTCGTCAAGCTGACAACATAAGGGAACTTGAGGATGCCAGACTCAGCACAAATCGTTTCAAGCAACGCAATTCAAGCCTTTCAGACGAAAACATGGAGCTTTATAGCCAAATAGATTCCCTCGCAAAGGAAAACATGAAGCTTTATAAACGAATAAACTACCTTGAAAATACTACGGACCAAAGGCAAGCGACAAGAGGCAGCAAAGATGAACTCATGATGGAGATGGAAAGCGTCTGCAAAGAGAACAAGAAGCTTCTTCGTGAGGCCAAAGATGCCAAGAGCTCACTTGAGACTATTGAAAGGGAAAAAACACGCTTAGAGAGAAAGATCAAAAGAATGAGCCAAGAGAGCAACCAGGGAAGCAAAGTTGCTCTGGCAAAGGGTAGTTTGTCAGCGAAATCTGTCGAGAAGGTGATGGAGGAGAATGAAAGATTGGCAATTGAAAACAGCCTTCTTCAGGCCCAGTTTAATGAAATGGCAAAGAAAGAAAGCAAAATACAAAAACCAAGCAATACCAAACCGACTGGCACCAAAATCTCTGATTCCAGGCCTTCCAATAGCCGTCTTGATAGAGGCAGCAGTGACTCATCTATGAGCTCATCTCAAAGTGGCGAGGAAATGATTGACAACAGTTCGACGAAGTACATTCGTCAAAGCACAAGTGGAAGCAGCACAGCATCAAAAGAACGTGAAGAATGTGAGCTGTATGATTTGGACACAAAAGACCGCAAGCAGAGCAAACTAAGCACACGCAAACGAGGAAGTGCCAAGAGCGACTCGAATGAATCAATGAAAAGCAAAAAGAGCGAGGACCAAACTATGCTGATGCTAGCTGAGAACCAAAGTCTGAAGAGCAAACTAACGTTTTTGGAAAAGACAAACGATGATCTAATAACGCAGATATGTTACCTTCAAGACCTGATTGGTGAGAAGCAGCAAAGACCCGAATCTACGAATCATAAGCCACAGTGGGCAGAGACTGGAACATACAGTGCAAAACTCAAAGTTGGACTTGGAGATGGGAATCGAAAACTTGCTTCGCAGGGTACAGGTAAAACTGACAGAGAAATGAAAACAGATTCTAGAATTCAAGGAACATCACTGAATTACGGCGGAGATGATCAGCTTGAAGGCATCATTTCACTGATAGAGAAGAATAAAACTTTGGAAAAGGAGAATATTCAGATAAAAAGGAAGTCAGATACAATGCTTGGAAAGATAAGAGAGTATGACGGGTTGAGGGAAAACCTGAAAGAGGCAGAGGAAAATTGCAAGAGAATGCAAGAAAGAGTGGTTGACCTCGAAAGGGTAAACGAAGAATCAGTCATGCAACTAAAAGCGGTGTCTAAAGAAAGTGATGACATGAAACAAAGGTATGTGGATGCGAGAAAGAATTATGATGCACTGTGCGTGAAGATTCAGTCTCTAACAGAAACAATTGCAGACTCACGAGTCAAAGTCTTTAATCTGCCAACTGCCCTCGAGGCAATAAAGAAATCATACATAGAGAGGCAATCACAAATTGCTAACCTTCAAAAACAATTAAAGGAACTGGAAACTATGAAAGCATTAGTTGTTAAAGAGAAAGAGACTGTTACGAAAGAAGTGCATAGTTTGAAGGAACACTCTAAGGTTCTGCAAAAGCAAATAGAGGAATTTCAAATAATGGAGAAGAATTTTCAAAATCTCAAAACCAAATTTGAAAAACAACAGAAACGCATGGAACAAGAAAGATCTGAAAAAGACAGTCTTGCTAGCAGCAACAAAAATTTGGTTGAGGAAAATAAAGGCTTAAGGAAAAAACTTGACCAGGTCACAGAAACATCCAAAAATCAATCTGAGTCGAAGGCGAGGCTAGAAAAAGAATGCCATGGGTTAAAAAGAGAAATTGAAAGAATATCTTTGGAAAAGAAGATCCAAGATGATGTTGTTATTGAGACACAACTGCTAAAAGAAAAGTTAATGAAAGTTGAAGATGATAATAAAGGCTTAAAGATAGATTTAGAACGAGCAAACAAGAGGTCCAACGAGATATGGGAGTCGGTAAGAATGAAATTGATTGAAAACGACTGTTTTGGTGAATCTCCTCAGTCTGAGTGTATTTTGAATGGGGATGAAACTTCAGAAACGACTATAATAGGAGAAGAAATACGAAACAAAGTTTTCAGTTTGATCGAGGCAAATAATGCCCTTCGTGAAGAAATAGAAAACCACAAGACTGAAAACAAATCTCTCGATGAAAAACTGAAAGCTATGACCAAAGAGCTAGAGGACACGGTTACAAGTTATGCAGAGGCAAAGCATTACAGGAAAGATTTGCTTGACAAGATTGTTTCCATTGGGGAAGCAATGACAGGACAAAGCATGGATGAATGCAATGAAGAGTGGATTCTAGAGGCGATGAAGAAAACATATCAAGATAAACTTTCCGATATTGTCAAATTGCAACTTTCAATAGAAGCCTTTGAAAAAACCAAAGAGTCAATGACAATAAATACAAAGACACAAACAGAAGAAATTAGTGATCTTGAATTTCGTTGCAACGAGCTTCAATGTAAGATAGAGGAGTATGAGGTGCAGCAGATGGAATATGAAGATCTAAAAAGAAACCTAGAAAAACGCCATGAAGATTTATTGCATCAGACCCGTGAAAAGGAGGCACATCAAGAAAAAAATAAAGATCTTAATAGAATTAATGAAGATCTACTCAAGAAAACAACGATTTACAGAAACAGAGTTATGATGCAGGAATCAAGATGAAAGCAAAAGACGATTATATCTCCAGCCTAGAAAAAGAGGTCGAGAAACTAATGGAAGAGGTTAAAGAATTGTCTCTAACGGAATCTATCGTTAATTCAAGTGTGCAGGACGATTTAAGTGAAAAAGTCACGACTCTGGAAGTGGAATGCAAAAGATTGAGCAAGGAAATGGAGACGAAGGAGAAGGCAGACAGGAAATGGGTTGAGATAGGTAATTTTGTTGATATGAGGCTAGCAGAAAGTTGCATTTTAAATAAAACCACTGAAATTAGTGTTAATGAGAAGCATAAAGAAACAAAGTTTGCAACTATCATGGAGAAGATACAGCAGAAAATTATTGCCTTGTTTGACGAAAATGACGGCATT